GAACCCTCTGGTTAAGATCTGGTATTTCTTGGAGACCTTTAAATTGCAAATCAATGTTCCTTTGGAGAAGGTGAAAACAAGATGACTTTGGCATAGCCATAATGACAAAGACCATGTGAAATCAGACTGTGTAACCTGTGTGTGTGTCTCCAAAAAAGGGTACCCAGGGCACTTAGTAAGAATTGCTACTGGAACCCTATGAGCAAAAGACCCATCACCATAACAAGGAGTTGGCATCTGCTGCTAACTTCCATTTAAACTGGGCTTTTGTTGGAAGCAGCATCAATGCTGGTTCCAAAATCATTACTAAAACACTAAGTAAAAGGAATCTATGTTCATGATCACTGACTACAGTATTACCACCACTCTTCCAAGGAGCAGGAAGAACTCTCTGTATCCAACGAGTACCTTCTTGTAGGAAAGCATGTTCATCTTGCAAGAGACGAATTCCTAGAGCTTTAAGGGCCAGCTGCATCATTCTGAAGGAGAAGAGGCAGGACAGAGCCCAGTATTGATAGTACCAATCTAGCAATCTGTTTGCTGGATATACCAGGTTTTAGTAAAGATCTGAAATAGTACTTCCTATATTCCACTCTACATACACATAGACACACACTTGCTGAGTATGGTAGAATAAAAAGGTCTTGTCAATGACCATGGGATTCACCAGTGTGAATGCACAGGCAGATCTGACTGAAAAGAAGATTTTTTTTTTTGTAATTTTTTTTTAAACCTCTGACAAGCATCCAGGGAAATCTGCAGAGCTGACTCAATGGCTGTCAGTACTAGAGGGTATTTTTGAAACTGGCACTAATGGCAAGGAAAAAACCCACAGACGTAAAACATGAGGGAGAGAAGAAAATAACTCTCTGTACTAGAGCCAAGGATACAGAGGCCTGAAGAGATGGTATAAGTTTGTTCTTTGGTGTCACTTGCATTTCAAGCTGCAATATAGAGGCTATGTCAGGAATTCATTACAGAATATAAAGCCAAGGAGATTCCTCAGTCCCCAGCCAGTAGTGTCTGGCAGTGCCAGACATGATAGGAAAAGATACTCCATTGGGTCTTTAGTGAGAGGACCCAAGCCAGTCTTAGTATCTTCAACTGTAAGAATCCAGCTCCAACTATAAAGCATGAAGTTCTAAGTGTTCAGAAACCATATGATGCTGGAGCTTCAACTAAAAACCTCACTTCCAGCAGCAAAGTAAAAGAACAGCAAGCTGCATACTTGGCTAGCCAAATGAGTTTTGCTCTGAAAGAAGGCAGAGAGGAGTGCCAGAGTCTACTATAAGCACCAGATAGGAAATGCATCTCCAAGCTCTTATGAAGCTCTAGGTTCCTGTGTCACACCTAAGGTGTTCTCCGATACTATTAGCATGATAAATTATCATTACTTAGATTCTGCCTAAACCCAAATGTGACTTCTGCCTTCTCTTCAGCACAGGAGTAGGAAGGAGTTTCAAGGGACTACAGGACGCACGCTTTGCTTGCATACAGGCAACGACACCAGCCCTTACAATGATACTGCTTGCATACTCTGTAGTGAGCGCTGCACTTCATCAATACATTTGCAATGCTTCTGTAGCCAAGGAAATATTTTCCTAAAGGCTGAGACCAACAGAAAGTTTCAACTTCAGGACATCTGTCCAGCAGCTGAAAAAGAGCTGTTTATCACGCTGCTACTTCTCTTCATCCTCTTTTGGGATCACTGGTGCTGAGCTGTAAGTAAAGCCAGGTTCTTTTCCCCGCCAATAGGAATAAAGTCAGGTTGCTGACAGCATGATATGGAGGTGGTTGTGCAGAGTAAAGCACGCCAAATAAGCTTTTATAACACTTCCCCCCTTATCTTCAGCATAGCTCATAAGGCAACCAGCAGTTACTACGATATCCTTGCACACAATGACCCCCACACCCCCAGCTTAATGCGGGCAGATCACGTCTTCTGCAAATTATGAAGTGCTAAAGCTGGAGGCAATCCCGGCCAGAGGCAGCACCATATAACTACACTAGCCCTGTTCCTGTAACTACCTAAATTGTAATCCTCATTATTCTGCAAAAAGATTGCTCTCTGGTAAGAGGCATCAGTTTTGTTCTATTGTGTACCAGTAAAAAACAGATGCCAGCTAAGAGGCTAGCTAATCTATTTTTATACATTTAGGTCAATTGTCCCATGAACTGACATATCTAGAGAACAGGAGAATAGGATAAAAAAATATTTTTTTTTTTGCTATTCCAAATTCAGCTCTCAGTGTCTTTCTGTTTTAATTATAGTTATCGTATTGCTTGCTTACACTGCGAGTAAAGAATATGAAACAGGGAGAAGAGGTTATGTAGAACATGCCAGATTCCAGGATGAAAAAGTCCACCATGTATTTTTTGTGGTTTTCTAAGTTAAATAATTATCGCATTGTTAGATCTTTCTGGTCACAGGTTGTACGTTCAGCGTAGTACGAGATATAGATGAGTGATGTAACCTGGCTATCTGCTGTGGGACCGAATATTTAAAGAGAGCACAAGAGCTGGTTCCAATACAAACAGTGGGAAAAGAAAGACTGGGCTCGTGCAATCACTGACAAGTACTGGAACAACTTAGCTCGTGCTCAGATTTCAGGAAGGCAATTAATTAATCACTACTAAGTACCCTAAAATCAAGTGAGCCATAGCCCAGCTAATAGTCCACAATATAACGTTCACAGCACGTAAGTATCAGGCAATAAAGATTCTCCTTACAGTGCCAGAAATAATATTTCCAGCAAAATATTATATATAAAGATGAAGTAATTATATGGCATGGCAACAAAAAGAGCTATATAGTTTACAGCTGAGCTGAATATCTGTAAGAATCTATTTCAAAAAAATATTTTCCAAAGCTGGAGACATATATGAACAATAAAGAATTAAGTGTATTTCTTCACTTCATATCACTATGGGATATACTTTGCCTTTGATATGTATGTCTAATATACACACCATATATAATTCCATTGTAACTAAGATAGCAGACAAAAATGTACTAATGGAAAACAATGTCCTTTTGTTCTTATTCAGGAGAAAGCAGTTTGTAAAACAGTATTTGTAATACTTAAAACCATCACATAAGCCCTTTAAGATAACAATTTTACAAGCTGCCTGTTCTCTTAGCCTTACACAATGGAGAAATCAAAATCAGAAATTAGACTCACATTTAAGAGTGTATTTGGAAAAGCACTATAAATAAAGGCATGCAAAGGCAAAGCCCCCAGTGACTTCAGTGGAGGGTAAGAACTGGCCACTACGGCACAAAATTAAACAATGCATCAACATTCTCCTAGCGTGTATCAGCTTGCTCATATTTACACCATGCTACAGACTTGAAGTGTCATTGAAAATCCATTTAAATTAGCAACTCCATAGCTATCACTTTTGCAGACAGTAATGAACCTTAAGTGAACCTGTGTGGGCGTTTTCAAAACTGCTTCATTTTTGGAGCACCTTTGTAACTCTGAACTAGACATTATAACGGCTATTGACTTGCTCAAACTTAGATTATTAGGCTAGATTTTCAGCTGGTTGAACTGGCATAGTTCCAATGATGTCCATTTATACCAAATGTCTCATTATTAATTCAAGGTCTTATTTGCTCCTTAATGAATACTTCCACTAGTCACCTTCCCAATGGCAGCTTTAAACCCCCAAATGTTCTCCATGGTCAGAATCATCATAATCAAGAACTTAGTTATCAAAAAATAATGCTTTTTCTCTCCTTTTATGAGGCATACTTAAGGTAAACTTTTTTAATCATTTACAAAACAAACTAAAATACCTCTTGTGCCATAATTAATGAACTAGAATTATGCTTTCATATAGCATCATTTGCATATAAATATAAAAATCTTACAACCCTAAGGGGACATTAAGGACAAAACAAAACAAGAATGGAATTAAACAGCTAAAGGGACCACACAGCCCTTCATAACAAGTCTCTTTTATACCCTTGTCTTTTTTTCTTACTTATTGTTATTTCTGTCTTACCCATTTATACACATTTTCCTTCTCTGTTATTTTGAGATACTACATATATTTTAACACCTTTATTTGTTCAGTCGTTTCAATTTTACAATGCTATCTCTGCACTTTTAAAACAACCCAGGACACAAACATGTCACTAAGTTTGTGCATCTTCATCTAAAACATCACAGTTGTCAGAAACACAATTAACTGAAAGCACGACAGTCTGTTCCTTCAACCAAGCAACACTCACAATTTTCCAAAAGGATTTCAAAGAGTCAAATTTTATAATTTTTCAATCAGATCTCACTCACTAATTCAGTAGAACAGTTAACTGTCAAACATACAAAGCAGAACAACCACTACTTCCGATTATTGTTGTTACTACTATTAAGTAATTTAGTTTAAATACTTAAAAAAATATTTAGGAACTTGACAAAGCTGCATTATCACAGTGAGAGCATGAGGAACCTTAATGGTAAGCTCAGTAATTCTGCTGTGACGCGTGGGAGGTAAAAACTTTATTCTACATTGCTGTTCCATGGGAAAATATCCTTCAAAGGACTACATCAAAACTGATGTGCTCAGTAAATCCAATTGGTATTCCATAAGACTGGCAATCTGACTCTGAAATTTCTAGTAAGTAGGTGTACCCGAGTAACACTTGAGTAACTCAACATGAAAATACTCTATTAAAAGATCATTTCTAGCACCTTTATTTTTTTTATTCCAAGTACCTCTTAACAAAAACTTTCAAATAACTATCTTGATCCAAATGTTTTTAATTTGGCTGTGACAAAAAGCAAGCGGATATTGTAAGAGCTATACAAAGAGTAGGAAATTGTTTTCACCATGGAAAGCCCACAATAATCCTGAGGAACAAAGTTTTGTGATTAGGTAAGTACTAATTTTCCTTAACAGCTGAGCAGGCCACTTAAGATGCTTTCATACCACCATGAAGTTGCCCATCAAATGTACCTTGGTGTATCTTGCTAAAGAAAGTTACCACGTACCTGGAATAAATTCCACTGACCATGTTGTGCTGGAAAGAGAGTTCTGCCGTGCTGGGTCCAGCAGCTTTGGAAATAAGCAATATGACCAAACCACGCATCTGTAAATTATTTCGGCTATCGTACACAAAACCCCTGCAAAAACAAAAGAAAAAAAAAGAAAAAGCATGTTTTCACAATCCATTTTCACTGGTCATACCAAAGTGGAAAGACAGACTCAAATCTCAGGCTGCCATCATTTCATCAAGTCTTTAATATTCACATTTGCATGGAAATAAGCTGCAATTATTAATCACGATCTTTTGTCATCCGTTACCTGACACTTACAATGACATACTACTATTGCAGAGAAAAGCAAGTACTCGGGATTAAATCTTGTTTCTTTCCAAGGAGCAGCACATGTTCTGCATTCCATGTCATGCCATGAAAGGAGTATTTCAGAATAATTCAATTTGATCTACTGTAACAGGAACATAAGAGCTTTCAGTTTGTTGTCTGAAGTACAAAAAAGCTGAAAGAAGCCTCATACTTCAGGAGAAGAAAGGGAAAGAAGGAAATGTACAACGAAAAATCTATAACCTGCTGAAAGAAAACGGTTTAGATCAGAGTGGTTATGACCAGACTGCACAATACATACAACATGCCTAAGTATATTAGGAATAGACTTTGCAGAAACTGATGAAAGGTTTAAAATATAAGTTAAGAGATACATGAAGTACAGATGGGCCATTTTAAACAAAAGAACTGTTTCAAATGCTGCACCTTTAAATTTGGGGTCAGAAGGGCACTGCCCACAAAAATATATCTGTTGAAAGCAATTCTAAATGACCAATTAATTTCTAATTCAGAAATTAACTTGTTTTAAAAGCAAGCTTAGCTTTCCTTTTTGACTGCAACCTCTCCAGTCGTATTTTTCCTGTCCTTGTCAAGCTGCTTTCTACTTCCTATGTTCATCAATAAGGCTAAATAGCTAGAAGAAAGGATAATACACTACAGATGCTATTAAATTTGTAAACTAATTTCCAATAAATAAAAGCCCATCTCTGATATCATCTAAATATTTGTTAAATAAATCATAAGAAGAACTACATCAGATTACTACACACTTCAACTAATTTTATTCCAGAGTATAATTTTAGCCCTAATCACTGGAGGAAATCAAAACAGAACAGTCTTTAAAACATCTGAATGAAAAATCTAAGATGTTGATCTTGGAAATACGTTTGAATAAAGAAAACAGTGGATGCAACCCTAAGTTTCATATGTATTTTTTTCATTACATTTACACCACTTCACAACGCAAGAATATCTTCAGTATACTATTTCATTTACACAGACATATAAACATTTTAGAAATCATAATTTAAATGCACCCTTCTGTGTGAAAATGCCTGTGCTACCACAAAAAAAAAAAAATCTTGACTTCTTTTCTCAAGTCTTTACAACCTTTCCTAGCAATGGGGAAACGGCCCAAACTACTTGTCTCAAACAGCTCTAGGAGAAGAATGAGAGGGTCCACCCAGGTAGCTGGTACTAGACAGTTACTGGGCTTAATCTTCACATCTGCGCTGATTCCAGGCTAATACTTCCCCCTCCAGAGAAGCCCTGAGCTCATACTAAGTGCAGCTGCAGCCCACAAACACAAGAGGAGGCCAGTATGGCTAGTATGGCTTTCTACCACAACCCACAACGTTTTTAGCTCTGGTGGGGTCTAATGAGCCAAATGAGGCCACGGCCTTTTGTTCTGTGCCTTTCTAATATGCCCACATCCCACTTGCTCTGCCTGCAGACTAACAGGCTGGCCCATCCAGGCTGTGTTAGGGGTGGGGTGTACTGAGCCTGGCAGCACTATACCCCATGCTCTCAGCAACACGGGCACCTGTGGCATTAGAGAAGGTATCAACTTCTGCTAAATTTCCAAAAGAGTGTGCATGGCCTCAGACAGCAACAAAGTTTGGTTCAACTAAGCTGAGGTTTCAAGAACCAAGTGGATACCAAACATTTGCAGTCAAAACTGAAATTCAGCCAAAAGCAAGCACTAGCCATCAATCTTAATCTGCAAAAATACAGTGTCAGTTTCTCTTTAACAGAGCAGTAAAACGCAAATAACAATTAACATATTACCTTACTATCTTAAAATAAACCAATTAAAATGTTTGTCAAAATTAGGAGAACGTGGGTAATCAAAATTTTGGTGGAAGACATTCAGCACAGGTTTTAGCACGTGAGATTCAAACATAACTTCCTGAGGAGAAACCATGCCATAGAGCCACCAGCTCTCACTTCTTCCATCCTCAAAAAGTCTTCAAAACCCACAACAAACAAATAAAAAAACACCCCAACAACACAACCCTGAGTAAAACAGCACTAAAAAAAAAACCAAAGAAAACAACACAACAGTAAAGGGAAGATAGTATATAACTTCCCAGACCAGAAATTATTTCTTTTTTATCAGTTCCCCAGTACTTCCCAACCACTCAAACCCAGGAAAGCTTGTGCAGCTCAGATCTCTTCCCAAGAGCACACACTGTGGTCCTGCAATGTGCACCTTTATTTTGTTTACCAGGTACATGTAGTGAGGGATTTTAAGGAGGAGCGGACAGCTGCTTGCCCTCAGCATTTGGTGAATTTATAACTTACATACCTTTACTCTCACCAAGCACACAAATAAGTAATTATTTTCTTACCGTGTTCCAATATACAGTCAGCAGAATGCAGCCAAGACAGTTAAACACTCAAAACTCTACAGGTTTCCAAAGTCAGAACCACAATGAACATTAAACTACCCAGGAAAAAAACAAAACAAAACCAAACCAACACAACCAAAAACCCAACAAAATCAAAACAAACAGAAAATACATATCATGAATAATACATAAGAGTGTACACATCCTGTATACCAAATTCATAATTGTTTGTGGTGGTGTAAGTACTTCTCTGGCTTGAACTTCAGTTGACCACATTACTCAGAACCACAAGTCACATAGATGATGCAACTAAATACAAATATATTTCCTCAACACTATTTACAACTCCTTCTTTAAAGAAAATCTTTTTTGAAGAAAAGTGGGTTTAGGAAAAAATTGCTTTTTTCCATAGATGTACACTGTGCTTTACTAAATGCAGGATCCCATGAGAAATGAGCAAAACCTTTTTTTTAGGAAAAAAAAAACACCACCAAAAAATATAGCAAATTATGGTGATACTTTCAACAAATGGAACACTTTGGTTTTTCATGCTCAGTGCTCTACAGCTTTCCAAGGGACAGGCTATTACAGAAGGAGAGAAGAAAGTTGTTTATCACAGGACTATAAAGCACAGGCCAAATAAGCCACTGCCTAAACAGACACCACCAGAAGTGAAGTAGTACAGTACTTTTACCTGGTTTGGACTACATGAGGAACAGAAGAATAAGAGCTGTTCAGGGGGCTTGCAACACCACTAGCAAGAAATGCCCTGCATTCTCAGCAGAAAATTGGGGGGGAGGGGAGAGAAAGAGTGCAGCTGTGGGTGGAGGGGAAGAACAGGACATAAAAATCAAATAGTGTAATAATAAGGGGCAACATGCCTGTCATTCTTACACCTATCATATAGCCTATAAGTTACATATGGTTTGGAAGTAATTTTAGACAGGATTTTCTATGAATTGCCAAAGCAGTAGTCAAAGTCTAATCCCATTCAAAACACCACTGAAGTTGTTGCTGACATGCAACATATCCACACTAAAGCAAACCGCATTAGACTTGAAACAAATGAAGCCTACGGTGATCATCCTTTAGACACTAGAAACCACTGCAGCTACTTGACATGGCTTCAGGGGTCACATTCACATTCTGAATTAAGCTCCCAAGAGATATTCTGCCCGAGTAACAGCTACACAAAAGTCTTCCAGATGGTGCAATTAGTCTTGATGGGTATGTGGCAGGAGACAGGTGCCTCTAGGGGAAAAAAGTGAACTAAAAGCAACCCAAGTGAAATTGTGCACACAAAAACCAGATGCATCAAGCTGAGACTCTCGGAAAACCTCTGCTGAACACCACACGTACAGGCACAGGGTACCCAAAAAAGAAACATTAGCACAATTTTGCTTGCTCGAAGTTACAGGCTGGGTATCTTGCAAATTACATACTTCATCCGCAGGGGACGACATACCAAATACTGTAGGAAAGACAAACACTTCTACAATTCAGTTTTGCAAAACATTAAGAATCTGGGATGGGAAGGGGGGGACACCACTCCCAAAAGATCAAAAAGCATTTAACTCTAGATATTATCTGTGTGACAAAATAACCCATTCGAAAAATGGCAGATTCGGTGTTTTAAACAGAACGCTGTTCACACAAAATTCACCTTACAGCTCAGGGGAGAAGCGCCCAGCTCCGACACATGCGCAGGATGGCACTGTACAGGCACAGGAGACTCACACCACCCACTCAAGCAATGACACTGGCTAATAGCTAACGTGCTGCAAATTACACCACCTACTACCTGTGTCCGTCTGCTGCAGAGAATAAATCAAGCAAACATGAGCATTTCACTTAATGCTTTGTGTATTTCTCCACGTGTGCAGCCATTTCAGTAGACTCTGCAGTTAAAATATTAGCCTCCAATAACTGTCAGGTTTAACTCCATCAGTAAGATACACTTTCATTAAAAAAAATAGACTATTTATTGCAAGCGGGTTTTGAGCAATCTTGTTTAAATACTGCAGAGATTTAAAATTATCATCTGCATGGGATAAAACCAGCTAATGTTCTTACCACTTTTTCCATTAAATTAAACAATGGAGAGAAAATACGGTAAATACAACAGTTATTGTAAGGAAGAGATGGACATGGGGGAAATTCGATGGTATCAAATGGGGGGGGTAGGAATCACAGGCACCTATGAAGTCAGCTGACTCTGCAAGTGGGTATAGCAGAAGAGAGCATACTTACAGGTAGTAGTACTAGTTCAAATTTAACTAAGACTACAAAATAAATTTCCTATCAAAACAGACATGATAAGGTATTTGGGAAGGGTCAAAAAGGGGCTGTTAAAGTTTTAGTCAAATGTTCTTAGTATTTCCCAAATGTTCTGCTCATGACACCAAAGCAGACAAAAGGATCTGCTGACCTTCAGGCAGATATCCCAGC